GCCAGCGGGGCCGCCAGCGGCCGCGGCGCTGCGGCGGCGGGGCGGCGGGGGCAGGGGCGACGGCGCCGTTATGAGCGTCGTCGCGCGGGGACAAGGGGGCGGCGTCGCCCCTGCTATCAGAGCTGCTCCTTCGCGCCTCTACCCTGACAGCCCCTGCCGTAGTCGGTCCCTGTGGGACCGAGATCGCCCCGGCCGCCTCCGACTCCTCTCGTGCCGCGGCAGGGGTGCCGCTGCCTGTGTGTTTGTCAAGGGTGCAAGGGAGGTGTGTGCGCCAGGCACTGAGCGATTCGCTTGCCGGCTGGCATGGCTGGGCGCCACTGCATACCGCTGACAACGCGCTTTCCGCACAGGCGGCCATCCGGACCACGAGCAACGATCGCTGGGCCCCTGAATGTATCTTTCATAGATCTGATATAATCATTAAATCACAAAGACACCGGAACCTGCGTAGCGGGGACAACTAGCCTTTCTACACGACCTCACCTGCCGCTTTGAGCTGATCCCACCACTTCATTCGAACACCAATATGCTATACTTGAGCTGTGAGCATGCGCGCCGCAGCCATGGCCCTCGTTCAGGATGAACGCGATCCTGTCTAGAGCAATGACTTGCGTATGATATGGCAGAGGTGCTGTGCGGCATTAACCATAGCGTCACCCGTTAGCCGGCGCTCTGGTCAAGGCTCGTGTGCGTGCTTGTCTTGACAAGAGGCGGCTGAAATCAGGGGGTCGGAAAACGGCGTGCGCCGCGGCAATTCACGCGGGAGCTCCTGCGCAGCATGCGTCAGGTGCAACATCACATTACAGTCGTATGCATGGATCAAGGACAGCAGGGGCGGCATGATGCAGATGACACATACACCGGGTGGACGCGCGCGTGTAGAGCAGGGCCCAGCCCAGAGCCTATAAGAGGTGGGACCCCTAGCACTGCCTGCCTGCGTGGCAAGCATGTAGGTGCGACTTACACGACAGAGCAGAGGGCTCGTGCTTAAATCTTTCCAACCCCATCTGGCAGTCTCTGCGGAGCCACAACGCAGACAAGGGTCAGCAGGGATGCCGCGCCCGCCTGCGGGTGTGCACCGCACGATTGTGGGCGCGGGCAAAACTGCCGCCGCGCGAAGCTTCATCGCCGCCCTGCAGGCCGAGCTTGCTGCCCGGGCCGCACCTAGCAATCATCGTCACGCTCTTGCGGCACACGCCAGTCCCTGCGTCGCAACCGCGGTGTGATGTACTGAGGCGCTCCCCGGCCCCGTGTGTGGCCGGAAATCGAGCTGCACTGTGCTACGCCCGCCTGCCACTTTGCATGCTGCGCCAAAGCGCGCCGATGTTCAAATCGGGCCGCAGCCTGCAGTACACGGACCGGTATCAGCAATCCCTCCGGCTACTATGTTACCAAGAGAAACGGTTGGCCCACCACCAAGGCACAGTGCACCACGAAAGAAAGTGGATGGCAAGAGAGAAGACCTTGCCCAAAAATTCATCTTGCTCCCACAGTTGCTGTGTGCACCTCGAAAGGATGGCTTGCACCCACTTAGACAGGTGTGTGATGCATGGCTTAGCTCGCCGAGGACACGCCACACATGCCGCGCGGCGCCAGAAGTGCTGGCCTGGTAGGCGCTCTCGTTGATTGGTGCGCTGGCGTAGGTGCGTTCGGCAGTGCATGCGGGATGTGGTGTGTGTCGTCCGCCCAAAGGAGTGTGTGTTGAAAAGTGCAGTGCATGCAAAGAGCTCTTTAAGTTGGCAGCAAAATCCGGGGGCAGCAGCAAGCTCAAGTTGATTTCATCTACAAAGTGCACAGCCTGCCTGCCAAGAAAAGACTCTCATGCGATTACGTAGACTTGAAGTGCCCGTTCCAAAGCAACAGCTGTAAGTGAGGCAAGCCCAAAGGCAGCACTTTATTATTGTGGGGCGTGCAGCTGGAACGCGGGAATGCGCGGCCGAACACGTCTTGGTTTATTTGCGCCGCCAGTGCCTTGGCCGCCGCAAGCACACGCACATGCCTGGAGTCTTGCTTGCTGCCGCGTGAGGCGGGCGGCAGCCAGGCAGGAGCTCAGCGGCCCGCGGCCTGCTGACACGAGGTTAGGGCGTTGTTGCAGCCGTACAGCGAGGACTGGCAGTTGTTGAGCTGGCCGGCGTAGGACATGCCCACCGCCTGCAGCTGCGCCTGGAGCTGGGTCTTCTGGGCGTTGCACGAGGTCAGGCCAGACTGAGGGTGCATGTGGGCGACAGAACGGCGATGAGAGGGGCGTGAGCGGGGGATTGAACTCATGAGTGGCGGCCCCAAGACATCGCCCCTGAACGCAGTTGTCAAGCTCAACACAGCCCCAGTGATTTGATCAATCAGACCCAGAATAGAAAGGCACCTGGCACGAGGAGAGCTCCCCGGCGCAGGTGTTTGCGCTGACGGCGTTGCTCAGCTGGATGCCTCGCAGCTGCTCTTGAAGCTGGGTGATGTTTGCGTTCGCCGCAGCCAGGGCGGAATAGCATGTCGCAAGGCTGGCGTTCGCCGCCGACAGCTGCGCCGGGCAGGTGCTGTCTACCGGTGGCGGTGGCGGCGTGGCGTTGATGGTGGCATTGAGGGCAGCGATGGTGGCGCGGGCGCTCGCCAGGTCAGCGGCGCAGGCGGTGCTGGCGTTGGTGGCGGCCGCCAGCTGGCCGGCCAGCGCGGCCGAGGCGGCCTGCGCATCGGCCAGCGCCGCCGTGCAGTTGTCCCCGGTTGACTGTGTGGGCGTCGGGGCGGGCGGCGGCTGCGTGGCCGCCTGGAGCTGCTCGGAGAGCATCTTGATGGTGGCTGCCGACTGGGCGGCTTGGCTGCGCAGGGTCGTAACGTCGGCGGTGGCGGCCTTGAGCTGCGTCTGCAGCGTTTTGATGATGTCCTGGGCGCTGGTATAGGCGGTCTGGGCGATGTCAATCTGGGTGTTGCAGCGGCGCGAGCAGCCACGGCAGGCGCCCAGGGTGAGGCTCTGCTGGGCGGCGGCAGGGGCGGCGAGCGCCGTGAAGAGGAGGGCGGCGGCGAGGAGGGGCAGGGCCGGCAGCGCAGGACGGCTGCGGATGGTGCTGTGGCCGGCCATGGCGGGTGGGCGCCTGGGAAGCCTGAGAGGATCCAGGTTGAGTGGCGATGGTGGTGGTTCGGGGGTCGAGTGACGGGCGGAGCGGGATGCATGAGGTGGGGTGAGGGAGCCGCCCGAGGCAGCGTGAACGTTGGGAAAGGGCCCCAGCTGGCGGCGCCGCCGCTGGCTACCCCGGGGCCCTTTCTGTGTGCCTTTCCCATGCTGAGTGTTTAATGCAAGGCTTTCGCCTTGCAAAGGGGCCCCAATCAACACGTCAGCGCAAGGGCGGGTGCTGTGCGCATTTTCGCGTCACCATCAAGGCAGGACGGGGGGACTGTGAAGGCGCACCGGGGCACGTTCTTGCAGAAGGCAGGGGGCTACAAGATACTCGCTTATCGAACTCGCATTTATCAGTATTCAGGTCGAGTGCGTTGATTTGAAAGCATGCCTGGTCGTGCAGAAATTGCGGAGTTCGCATCCGGAAGAAGAAGTTCTACTTCCCACGGTGTGCCTCGTGACTCCTACAAGGTACAACTAGGCAGAGAATGCGCCGTTGTCGCCGTCTTGTTACGCTATGATAACACTGTCGCAGGATAGAATTGCTACATGGGCAACGCGAGATTGCCGTCATTTGGTCAACCAGCAGCAGCACGACATGACTACTCTGACGATCTTGCAACTGAGGCCGGTCTCCTGGCTGACAAGCGGCGCGGAGTGGATGGTATAAGGGTGGCATTTTACTTTGAAGAGGCAACAGATCTTCTACGATACGCAAGCAAGGGCTCCTGGTTTGAAATTGCCAGACACCGACACATGTTCCCGGGCCACGCCGGTCACGCGCCAACAACCAATATGCATGAGGATACTATCCTGATTTGATTACATTTGTTTCTGCATGCAAATTCGGGATTCAACACCTAGCTATGTGTCTGAATCCTCCCTGCTTGGCAGAACAGCCCGCTGAGAGGTTGGGATAACAAAGATTGTGCTGCCCTCCAACCCACCGCCGCTGGTTGTTATGGACCTGCTGACCTTCTGATGACACATATACGTCTCTACAACCAGGAGGCAGCGCTAACCGTGTCATGCGTGGGCATCGCTCGGATGCCTCCTTGTGGTTGGCATTGGCTGGCACAGTGCAGGAGCACCGAGGCGGCTCACGAGCTCATGGGCGCGGCTGCCGTGACGAGCATATGGATCAGCACGGCTGCCGCGACACCTGTAGCTATGGATGGTGGCTGTTCCGGGCTTTGCGCGGGCCCATATTGCGCATCAATATGTGATGCTGGTGTGGGGCGTGTTGTTGAGGCCGGCCACAGCACTTGAGGTTGGTGTTGAGAGCAGAGGTCTTGACCCAGACAACGGGAAGTACAGGAGCGTGGTGGGTGCCAGTTATGATGAACGACTGTGCCCAGCAGGTACAAGGCCTGAGAAGGTGGTGCATTCCCAAACCCTGCCCATGTGTGATTTTGGCCGCCCTGCCCGATTGTAACAAGCTGGAAGAGAGCACTGTCATCCAGACAGATTGATCGTGCCTATGTCATCATCCACACGACAGGTATGTCGCATGAGCGCCGCAAGGCGACCCAGTTTGCGTCCCCACCCATCGGGTTAGGGCTGGCAGAGCTTGTGAGGGAAGCCTGGGGCTGCACTGTTGTCATACGTTGTCTTGTTCAGTACAGTCTTTTAAATCGATTTTGACTGTTGAAAGACGCTTCACAACAGTGTACACCAACGTATTTTGTTCGTTGCCGAGGTTCGGATCACTCAATCATGGGCGACCTCATCGTAGTGCCAGCCTTGGAAGCACTGGCGGCGCACGCTGTCCTTGAGCTCGCTAATAGCAACATTCCGGGGGTTGCTGAGTCGTTTGCTCCACGCATCCCGGTGTTTCAGCAGATGCTGGACAGCAGCAGCGAGGTGCAGCAGGAGTGCGCGGCAGCAGCAATGCGCGAGGTGGCGGCCTGCGCAACGACCCGCGTGGCCTTGCTGAATGCTGATTGCATCCCTGGCTTGCTGCAGAAGCTCGAAGCCCCAACGGCGACGCCTCCGCCGGCGGCGGCAGCGGCAGTGGCAGCAGCTGCAGCGCCTCTGGCCTCACAGGCAGACAAGTGTTGTCAGTCGGCGGCAGCATTGGAGGCTGACAGTCTGACACATGTCAGCTCCAGGCAGACGCCAGACACAAGCGGGGAGCTCACTGGGACGCAGGGGAGTGTGCTGAATCTTGTTTGCCACCTGGCTGGCAATGCAGCAGGCAGGCAGGCGGTTGCGGGCGCAGGCGGTGTTCCCGTGCTGGTGCGGCTGCTGGGCCGCAGGGGCTGCCAGGCTGCTGCTGGTGACATCTTGTGCAGCCTGGCCGAGGACGAAATGACCAGGCAGGCAGTCGCAGGCAGCGCCAAAGGGCTGGTGGATTACGTCCGCTCCAACTTTACTGCGACGCCAGCAACGATTCTGGCGGTGATCAAGCTCGCTGCGCACGCGGACACCGTTGAGGCGGTCGTCGAGGCAGGTGGCGCAACCTACCTGGTCACAACTTTGTGGGGCCTGTCAGCTGAAGCATTATACAAATACTATGGAGTTGAATCAAAAAATTTCATGGCGGTGGCAGCAAGAGGTGTCAGAGACCTGGCAGCATCAGCAGCAGGCAGAAGGGCGTTGGCCATGCGCGATGGCATCAGCGAAATCAAATACTCACTGCAGAGCGCCACCAGTACCAGCGCCGACGTCATTTTCCAGATGCTGTCGCTGGCGCTTACCAAGCTAGCCGCTGACGAGGCGTGCAGCGCGGCTGTTGAGGCGGCTGGTGGCCTTCCGCCGTTCCTCGAGCAGATGGTTGACGACGCTGACGAGCGCTTGAGCCAGGAGTACCTTGACGCAGAGCTGCAATTCCGCCGTACAGACCCGCTGGTGATAGAGGCTATGCGGAATCCAAGGGACAATATGCTGTTCGAAGAATGTGTCGAGTATTACGAAAACGACGATGAGGATGACGATTGGTGTGGTCGCCGACGGTGGTCGTTCTGATGCCTTGGTGCTTGCATGACTGCCAGTCATGGCCGCCAACCTCTGTAACTTTGCAACAGGCAGTGCAGGTCGGCGTATTATACAATTACATGCACCAGGTTTTTAACTCACAGCATACCCCTTCCTGTGGGGCTGGAGGCACCCTAAGAACCGATAGCTGCCTCCAGGGCAGGCCGGCCACACCAAAATCTGACTAAGCTACAGGCCCTGGCCCTGCATAGCCAGCCTCCCGTGCAGCCGCCCCCCAGTTGCCAAATCGCCAATAAATTATTTACAGCCGCGGCTTGCAGGGTCAAACAAGCTAAGCTGTGCCATGTGAGCAGGCGCGTGGGTGCCTTCACAGCGCAGCGATGACGTCCCATTGCATGCACAGGCGCAGGCCAACGCATCGGTACAGAGCACGCACGGATTGGATGGGGCGTGTGGGAGTGCGAGCTGCCAGCGTGTGCGGAAAGAGATGAAATGCGGATAGCTTGACAGGAGAGGCTGGTGGCGCACGCCGAGAAGCGCCCGCATGCGTCGCCCGCGGTGGACTGAGGGGTCTGCGCTGGATCCCTTTCCCGGGCCGGCCGAATCACATTGGGCGAGGGGCGCAGGCCCGATCCCCCACATTGGCCATGGCCTCCGCGACCTCCGGCTGGCGGTGGCGCGGGGGACGCGCTCTCCACGCCTCACATTGAGGGGGTTGCTTCGGACACCGCCTTGGCTGCGGACCCTCGAGCCTCCAATCCCGGCTGCAGCACCGGCTGCAGCGCCAGGCGCACTCGCCACTGCCAACAGGCGCCACGCTGCGCCGCGACCGCGGGTGGATCGGGTGCTGCTGCACGGCTGGGTCATCACAAATGGTCGATGACGGCCTTGCTGGGGGTATCAAAGGGGGAAGGCAGGGGGAGGGACAGGCGAGGACGGAGTGAAGGGGCGTGTGGAGGCAGCCAAGAGGTTCGCATCAGGATGCTCCAGTGCCACGGCCAACAAGGGGATCACACCACCGCCACTGAGTCCAAGCTTGACCCCTATACGCCACCTGCGCACGCACGCAACAGGGCATCATGCTGGTGTCCTGAGCACTGCGGCTCAAGCCCCCACAGCGGCTCGTCCCCACCCCAAGCCAGCCGCCCCGACCCCCCAGGCTGACTCACGTGTAGTCACTAGTGCCCGCGGTGCCCCCGAGGTCCCGGGTGCGGTACTTGCCCTCCGCGATGACGGCCAGCGCCGCGTTCTGGATCCGATCCGCCAGGCTGCAAGCAACGTGGGAAACAACGCAAACGCAATGGTTTGATGCATTCAGGATTTGACGCTCTGAAGCCTGGCGAGACGAGGGTGCAAGCATGAGCAACTTCCAGGAGCGGGCAGCCTGCAGCCGCGAGACACCTGGACCCTGAGTCGATGGACGGCCCGACAAGTAGGCCTCGTTTTCACTGCTCGATCCAGCGCACCCCTGAAGCCGCGACGCGGCCGCCCCGCCCAGCACCGACCTGGTGTGCCCGATGTGCCGCAGCATCATGCAGCCGCTGAAGAGCAGCGCGGTGGGGTTGGCCAGGTCCTTGCCCGCAATGTCGGGGGCGGTGCCGTGGACCGCCTCCATCAGGGCCAGCCCGTTGGCGCCTGAGGTGGGGTGGGTCAAGGGTCGCGCGAGGTTTGGGTTGGTGGCGGGGGTCGCCAGGCGTATTAGTGGGTAGTGGGGAGGGGGTCAGGTGTGTTGTTGGAAACCCAAGGCTGGAGGCTGTGCCCGAGCGAAAAGCAGAACGCTGGCGCCTGGATTGCGAAGGGGATTGCAGTCGAGGGGGCCCCGCGCTTGGTTCCCTTGCTTCACAGCGCCGCATCCCGGTGGGCGCGGATGCATGCGCACCGACGTTCGCGGAGGGCGTGAGGCCCAGGCCGCCGATGAGGCCGGCGCAGAGGTCCGACACGATGTCGCCGTAGAGGTTGGGCATGCACAGCACGTCAAAGCGGGTCGGGTCTCGCACCTGCCATGTGGGGGAGGGGAGCGGCTGTTGAGTGACCAGGAGATGAGCTGGCGACAGGCTCAATGGTTGTTGGCTGGCTGCGTGCAGGCGGTCTCGGTGTTCGGCCCTCCATTTGCATGGACATGAGCGTGCAAGCTCCCCCGCGCGCACACTGACTTGCGTGCGTGCGCGCACACACACACACACACACAAACACACACATACACAAACACACACGCACGCGCGTGCGCGCGCCGGGATGCGCACCAGCTGCATGCAGGCGTTGTCCACGATAACCTCCTCGTACTTGATGTGGGGATACTTCTCAGCCACCTGGGTTTCAAGGGGAGGTTGATGTACAAGTGCGTGTGTGTGTGTGTCCGTGCGTGTGTGTGTGCGTGCGTGTGTGTGTGTGTGTGTGCGTGCGTGTGTGTGTGTGTGTGTGCGTGCGTATGCACGTGTGTGTGTGTGTGTGTGTGCGTGCGAGTGTGTGTGTGTG